GGGCTTCAGCAGGTCCCCCAGGTCGTACGTCTCGAAGAGGTCACTGACCCCCTCCCCTTCCAGCCCCCAGAGGTAGTCGTCCTGTTCCAGGGGGGGTGAGAAGGTGACAAAAGGTCCCAAGTCCAGGTGGGAGGGGGTGCAGGGCAGCTGGTCCTCTGTCTGCTGCAGGAGGTGTTGGGGGGAGCCCAGGAGCCCAGTTTCCACCTCCAGCAGCGAGTTGGGCCCCCCCGGCACGGTGAGAGGCAGAGCTGGGGGTGAGGAGGGGGTTCCTGTGCCCCCCCAGCTCTGGAGGGCAGGGTGGGGTGGCTGTGGGGCTGGCTTGGGGGTGTTGGGCAGGGCTGGGGGTCCGGGATGGTGCTGTGGGGAGGTGGAGGGGCCAGCAGGGTCCTTGGTGGGGCTGCTCTCTGTGACCTCCTCTGGGCACAGATACACCTCGATGGGGCCGTTGGTGCTCTTCAGGTGGAGCTGGAAGTTGTCCTGGGGAAAAAGGAGGGGGGGGCAGAGCAAGGTTCAGGGGGGCACCCATAACCCATCCCACTGCCCCAACCCATAGCAGGGCACTGCAACCCCTCAAGGACCAGCTCAGGGTCCAACAGCCCCACGGAGACAGCCTAAAACCACTCTGGGTCATGCTGGGCTGCAACCCATGGGACACCCCAGGTGAAGGCACTGAGGAGGGGGCAGGTGGAGCAGCACCCATCCCCCCCCAGCCCAGGCTGGACCCCACTTCTGGGCCCACACACACCTCCCTGAATTCTGGCACCTCCAGTTGTGTCTCTGGAGGAGCCTTCACGGCGATCACCATCTGCTCCTGGAAGTTGCTGATGGCACAGAGGTCCTGGTAGGTCACATATGCCAGCGTGGACAGGGACACATAGGAAAAAGAGGGGCTGCAAGGAGGACAGCTCAAACCCCCCCATTCCAGCAGTGGCCTCAGAACATCCCCCCACCAGCCTGGGGGAAGCCAACAAAGGGCTGAGAGTTCTCAGGACCTTCTTCCCATCCCCAAGACTCTGTCCCCATCCCCAAAACCCTGTGCCCATCACCAAGACCCTGGTCCCCAAGACCCTGTCCCACATCCTCAAGACCCTGTGCCCCATCCCCAAGACCCTCTCCTCCCTCCCAAGACCCTGTCTCACATCCCCAAAATCCTGTGCCCCATCCCCAACACCCTGTCCTCCCTCCTCAAGATTCTGTCCCCATCCGCAAAACCCTGTCCCCTGCCCCAAGACCCTGTTCCACATCCCCAAGACCCTGTCCCACATCCCCAAGACCCTGTCCCCTGCCCCAAGACCCTGTCCCACATCCTCAAGACCCTGTGCCCCATCCCCAAGACCCTGTCCCACATCCCCAAGGCCCGGTTCCCTGCCCCAAGACCCTGTCCCACATCCCCAAGACCCTGTC